TCGTTCAGTCGTACATAATTTTTTGCCTTAGTTTTTCATTTAGCAACTCAGTGCGGTGCGACGGAGATTCCCATGTGAACGGCTGTGTGTCACCGCTATCGTGTTTATATTTCTATTACCAATTTCATTTCAATGGAAATGCCGTTCATTGTGAAATTGAAGAACTTTTCGGATGTGAGTGGGTTGCAAAATCCATCAACAGTGAACTAGCCACTTGTGTTTGCGTGCGCGCATGTCGGTCGGAAATATGTGTCGTACGAAGTGACAAGAGAAAATAAATGCAATCGAAGAAAGGTTCATCACCTCCGAATGGTTTTGAAAATGGAGTTTTATTGATGCCGTCATAAATTCAAAGCAATGCGTTACATTTTGCTTTCGTAGAAATTCGTGTACACATCATCGTGAATGTGTATCGGAATTTCATCCACACCAAATTTAATGATTGGCTGAAGCTATGATAGAAAAAAAAAAAAACTATTATGTGTTAGAAAACGCGTGCGAACAAACGGTCATGAATGATGGATATTTTGTCTTCTTGTTTTGCTTCGCCAGATTTTCGCTTAATCATTCGGCTACGAATGGAACAGTTAAACAAAATGCGCAACGCAAACAACACAACGATGGAATGAAGAAGAAAGAGGGATTGAGAGAAAAAGAGACCGAAAGGTGAACACTCAACAGTCAACAACTCGTATCGATGACTCATTAAGGTTTCATTCACATTGTCCACATACTTATGTTTATCAATGTATATTTTCTATTTTATGACTCTTTAAATTTCGGCGAATTATACGTAATAAATGAAGGTTTGATGTAGGCTTCCCCTCACAATATCTATTCAATGTGATGTCATTATTACGTGACAGATGACGTTTATTTTCGATGGGTATTTCATTCGTTTTAAAAATGTCAAAGAACCAATTTATTCAAAAGTTATTGACATTACAATGAATGTATGCCGACATATCAAATCCATTCAAGTATGAAAACTTTTAATACATTTGATCCGAAGTCTGAGACATTTAATATTAAAGTGCTTTGAACTAAATCTTCCACCTAAATGAATATATAACAGAGATCTGGTCTTTGTTTTGCATAGGTAAACAAGAAATCGTAAAAAACAAACAAACAGAAACACAATCCATTCAAAAATGGAATGTAATAACGTCACTCTTGCTTAGAAGGAACTCATTTATTGCATTTGAAATGCTGACAAATCAAACATATATATTGCAACTAGTTCAATATCACATTCAAATTAAATATATTGTTCGAACGTCGAATTGAAGAGGAAAAAATGATATTGAAATGCGATACACGTTAATGACGCTTCCTTTATTAACAAAACGATTATCTCGACATTTCTATCGATGGAGGAACAAATTTCCGCACCAGTAATGAAAACCTAAGCCGAAAAAATTGACGCATCGGCTTTGTCGATCCTCTGCTTTATGAAGTCAGTATGAAGTTCAAGAATGCGACAGAGAATTTAGCTGGCATCGCAATATTCACGTGCCGGATATAAAATAAACGAGAATCGTTACCGTAAATGGGATTCTTTGCATTTTGAATGGGACAGGCATTCGTAGTACAATATTACGAAGGCAAATCGAATGGCATATGTATGAATTTAATCACTTGGCATAATCGTGTTTGGTTTATGTCATATCGAAATTGAATATTAACTACAAAATACTTGATTGCATTAGTTTTAGTGGCAACAAAGGAGTGAAGGATATATATATATATATATATATATAAAGGAATAAATATAAGGGCACGGTCGCGTAAGACGAAACCACGGAAAAAAGTTAAAAGTGGAGAAAAAATGGTCTTAAAGTTATTAGATTGCTATGAAATTTTGCACCAAACTATTATTTCATAAACTCAATATATTCTGAGAATTTCATGGAATTTGGATTATTTTTTTGTAGACTCTTTTTTGAGGGCGTAAATTTCTATCGAAAATTTACAAAATCAGTAAGTTAAATACATATTCTTAAAGAAAAAGGTTCAAATTTTAATATTCAGTCGACAGAAATCACATTCTTCTTATCGCATCCTGTTTTTTTCTTGTCAAGAAGTTTGTACTGACTTTTTGTGTAACGTTACTGACGTCACTTTAACGTCTGTAGATTCACCAAAAATATGTTTTCAGCGTAATCACCATTTCTATCGTTTCTTTGATACTTTATCTTGAAATTCTTGGTTATGGCCCGAAAAATAAATCGCTAGATTCGCTAATTTTTTTTTTTTAAATATAAATCAACCTCGAAAATCACTTCCAAAATTGTGTGACGTTACTGACAACTTTGAACACCTATAACTCCATAATCACAAGTGATAGACAATACTTTAAGCCATTGAATTATCATTCTTGGGGAGTTCTATCATATGCAATGATAAAACTATGAGTTTTAATTATTTTTTGAAGAGATTTGAGCAAAAGCGTAACGTCACTGACGCGCGACCGTGACCATAAGTCGCTGAGAAATTAAATAGGTTTAACGAGAGAACGTCCGGAGAAGTGTATCTCCAATTTTGTGTTTTTTTTTTTCAATTGAAATATTTAATTTTATGTATCGAATAAAATAATTTTATTTCTCAGCCGCTCAAATAATGATGATAATTGAATGATATGTACGAATTGCGAGAGACTTTAGCCAACCATTTCAACTATGAAAACATATTACATCTTCGTCTTCTAATTCGGTTTTCTACAACTTTTCGTTTTCGCATTGAATAAAAATGAGAACAATTATATTAGTGCGCACAGAGAAGCAGCACCATTGTATTTATCATCAAGATGTTATTGCTGTAGTTTTTATTTTCATTTTTATTTTAGTATTTACTTCAAACGAAATAACGATTCTGGCTACTGTATACGCATGATGCATTTTAATCAACAAACCGAAACTGCCGCTCAGACTCCCTCTCTGTTTCTCTTTCTCTTTGTCTTTCAACACAAGTGTGAAAAAATAGTGGGACGCTCGCTGGAATGTGCTCATAGAGATCGAGAGAGCGTGATAAATGGATCCAATGAAATGTGCGCAAACTTCATCGACTTAAAACGGATGTATTGCGTCTATCAAGAAACAACACAACGTATGACCACATCATTTCAAAGTTATTAATTGAAGTGAAGAAAAAAATGACTCGTGCCCAGCTTATGTTCTATGGACTTCTCGTGTGTATTTTTTTCCTCCTCTTCAAACTTAATTTGAAAAAAGACTCGCATGTGAAGTAATTTCAGCATATTTCATATGCTTCGGCGCTTATATGTTTGCGCTCGTAAATTTCACGATGGAAAAATGTCAGACAAATCCAAATTGTTTAGTTAGTATTTATACGGAAAAAGCGCATTGCGTACATAGAAAATGATCGCATTTAAATTCGTACAGAGAATGCCTACAAAAAAATAAATAAATAGCATTGCCGTTTCACCAAAATCTGTTGAAAATTGATAGCAATTTACATTAATTCTGTTTCAAAATAAGAAAAAAAAAACATTTTCCGCATACTTAATTAAATATTTATGGTTACAGCGTAATGTGACTGCGCCACTAGCTACCAAACATCTAGCTCTCTGTAGATAAGTGAAAAGATAAAGAATTTTTCACTGCATACTCATCAAGTTGATTGCATTTTTCACACCTCAAATGGTTTTGGGACGGTTTCTAGGCGAAGAAATAATCTTTTGTACGAACATATTTACGTGTTACTATCGAACCGGAGGCATGTCATTTACACCTATAGCGTCTAACGAACGTTCGCTTATCACGAGCTTACAACTTTCTTCTTTCCATTCTTTCTTCCGCACAAAAACCCACAATTGCAGGTAGCATCTACAACGCCCCGATAATGATGTTGCATTTTAATTTATTTTGAAACCCAGGAAGAGGCAAACTATCGATAAACTGTAAATAGTCAATAAACTGTTCGATTTTATGGTAATCAACAATTTGGTCAAATTAAAAACCACGATGTCGCGTTTTGCATGTACATTTTGCTCCTGCTATGTTTTGGCTCGCGCGTATATATATAGGGTGTGTAAACTCATAAAAAATAAAACAAAGTAAAATAGAACGGGAATGCATGCCAGTGGCATGATGCCAGTGTATTGATTTCGTGTCTAGTGTGGCTAATAAATGGAACGATTTTCTGCTTTGCTATATGAACCAGCGAATGCAGTAATTCGAGAATAAAAAAGGTGCTTTCGATTTCGAGCAGTCGATTCCAATTCCTGAAATATTGCCTTTTAGACGGACGAATTGATTGCCATGCTTGCGCTAGATAAAACAAAAGCCAAACCTAAAATAAATAAATAAATAATGGTGAACACATGCACATCGTCATTTCCCTTTTCGCCTACACATTTTGCTTTCATCTACCAAAAATAAATGGGAACATCGTTTATCGAATAGTGTCTATAGCTGAAATTATGAGCAGAGAATGAAAGCCAAACGCAACTTGTGTTCGTTGTATTTCTCCAAAATCATCTCCATTGCGCTTAATTAACTTCTTTTTGTGTTTGTATTTGTTTATAAACATTACGTCCAGACTCATTAGGATGAGACACCGACATTAAACATTTTTTTTTTTTGCATTTGGATTGCATGCTAAGTAGCTGGATAAATACTGAAATGCTGCCAAAATGTGTCATTAGGCGTTTTCCGTCTATATCGAATTGTCATCATGTTTTGTTGCATAAAGGGCTTCTAAATGAGCTACGGCTAATTGAGTGGTGCTCATCGTTTGTATTTTTATGGTTCTATTGTTTTGGTACAAATGACAACAGCACAATGCATTCGGTTGCATCGAGTTGTATGGAAATTTCACAAATGATAACTATAAAGGGAATATTGTCAACAACCAAAAACAAGACGCTAGAGATTCTTCAATCAATTTTTCTTCTTCTATTTGTTGGGTTTTTTTTTCCCTCTCATGCATATTTGTATTTGTGCATGTATAGATGTATGTGTGTGTGGTAAATTACTTACCCTCTGCAAAAATTGGAACAGCCATGTTGAGTTTGTGTGAGTTGATGAACGTTTTAGAGTTAACGAGGTGTTGTCGTTGTGTTGGTGGTGGTAGTAACGTTGTTGGCGGCGGCGGCGGCAATAAGAATATCGTGAAATAGACAACACGGCAATGTGCACAAGGATAACGTTGCCCTTATGTGCTGTATGTGTTGGTAGGAAAAGGCACACACCGTATCCCGATACGAATGTCCACGTATTTGTCGTTGGTATTGCTCAGCTCGTGCTATATTTTTTTTCATTGGCAGACACATACACAAACACACACCAAATGCGTACAAATGTTTGATGGATGCGCAAAAAGGGTGGTTCCACACAACAACTTACATATACACAAAATGATTTGTGTTCAGTTCACTGTTCTTTTTTTATTCTTTTTTTCCGTTGCTTTTTATCGTTTGTATTTACACTTTTTCGAAAATCTTGCTTTGATGACAACATCAACGATGTCAAAAAAATTAAATAATCTTTTCTATTTTCCAAGAATGTTTCTATGCTTTGGTAAAATGAATTGGGTTACAAACTATACGCGTCTTTTTTCGCCTTATGATTATATTAAAAATTTAAAAAACTATTACGAAAAATGAATCAACAAAATGAAATTTAAGCCGATAATCAGAAGAATTGTGATAAGAAGCTGCCGTCTGGATTTATGTTGGAAAGAAGAAAAAAAAACACTATTCTTCCAATTCTTTTAATTTGAGTGCCTCGCTAATACACACGCTTGTATCACGATCGCACGAGTCATGAATGAATTTCATGCTATTGATTGATGGTAAACAGTGATTCAGACTTTATGCATCTCTTTCCGCATTCAAATCCACTGAATGTAATACAATTGAAAACCCATTTTAAACAGTAGTCTGCATGTTTGTTTTCTGCTTTTTTCTTCTATTTTTTTTGTGTGCACAAAACACAACCACTAACGAAATATTTCTAAATGAATAGACGAACACAGTTAAACTTATACAATTATGATTGCCGAATGTCTATCAATTTTGCACAAAAATTAAACGCAACGTCGATTTTTTTGAAGCCAACAACTTAAAACACATTCTGCTGATGATAGAATTTGTGACTCCAATCCACCATACACACAACAAATTCATTTCGCTTGAATCTGTTCACTTCGTCGACTTTTGAAACATATGATTATTGTTTTATCCCTTATTGTGTGTATCTTGTGTTCGACCTGCGTTCAAAATGTGCTGGGAATCCAACAACGGCTGACGAAGTACTGAAAACCCAAATGTTAAACGGCAAATGCCATACCATCTGTGTATCACTGTATAACAAACAGCGCACAGTTTGTACATATGTTGTGCAGTTTATCCGCTAACTCAGTTCGTTTCCCTACTCTCTTTGCTCTCTTCATTTCTGCTTTGCTTGTGAATTCACGCACACAACGATACGAGATATATTTCTCACATTAGCCGCATGCTAGCACACGATTAAGTGATAAATGGGAGAAAAGCGAGAGAGAGAGAGAGAGAGAGAGCGGGCAGCGCTAGAAAGAGAGAATTGCATATGCGTATATGTGTTACTATTGTTTGTTTATTATGCGCTAGCAAATTTCATTGTAACCAAACTATTTCGAACATGTGTTTCCAATATAATTTTTCGGACGTTTTTTCCGTGAATTATTCGATATTCCCAAAAAGCTATATCATTTGACATTCAAAGTCAAACAACAACAAAAATACTCGTTAACACAGCAAATTTTCAGACCGAAAAGAAAATAAACAAATTGCAAAATGAAGAAACAACCGCGATATAAAACCGAAGAGTAGCGCCATCTCTATTCATTTGGAACATGCAATTGACAAATCGGTCATTGAAATCAGCCGACTGATATGTATTTTCATTCAATAGAAAACCAACGAGGTACTTTTGCATGCAATTTGCGTTTAATTTGTTCTTTTTTGCTCAGGTCAAGAAAGCGCTATCACTTGATTTGCTTTCGTTTTTCATGAAAGATCAAATCCGTTGAAAATAATGAACAATGTGAACTTGGGTCTCTATACCAATAAAAACTTAGACGTCGTTGCCGAAAAATGTGTCATAAAAGGAAGAAAATTGAAAATGATTTAGATTTTTTTTCTCTAGCGTTAGCTTTATTTCAATTATTTATTTTTTGTTTACAGTAACAGTCACTATATTTTCATCAGCAAACTTTTACAGTTCGATATCAGTCCTGAATCTGGATTCAATATTTGCACCAGAAGTAAAACAAGATGGCTGCTCTACTAAAGATTTTCTTTTCTCATTTTATTTCAATTCGGTGAAATTAAGTTTACTCTATGACAAATGTTGTGTTGGATTTATTTGCTTTCTTCAACACCCTTTCGGTAGTCTGGGGCAGGGCATTCCAATTTTGAATAATCTATATTTGGTGAATAGAACTGAAAAGAGCCAAATAACAAACATATCATTGGATTTCTTTTCGTGATGAATTGAATGCATGTTTCATCTTTTGTTTTGATTTGTTTATTGCCTACCTTGTACTGTTTGTTACGGTATTTCTCCCATGGTTCTGGATTGCCCGATCGATTCCATGTAACATCGGGGCTTTGGGTTGCCAAACGCCACAAAATACCACCTGCGAGGCCGCCTCCAATTCCAATGATGACAACGAGTGGAATCAACTGAAAGTACACAACATTCATTAAAATATTTACAAATCATAAATTAAAAATCACAAAAATCGTCTACGCTTCAATGATGGAGAATTTCAAATAATTGCCAAAATGTATATTTAGCCCACTTTGATCTACTTTATACTTATAGGAGATTGGTAAGACGAAACACAGTTTTCCGTACGATCGTCATTCACTGTATTGTTGGTTATATAAGTTCGTGCAAGACATTTTACGCTACTCCATAAGGATATATTACATTTCAAATGTTGCCACAAAATACAAAAAACACTGCGAACATAATAATGAAAAATGAAAATATTCATCAACTTACAGCTGGATGCTTTTTCAGTGTTGCAATCGAGAACAGTGGTGAACCCATTTTAATGAATTGAAAATTCCGATATCAGCCAACAAAAGTTTTCCTCTATTTCGTCGTAAGAGAATAAATGACTGATGTCGAGCGAAAAGGTGATGTATGAAAACGTCAATGTCTTTACCGTGTATGCGCAACACCTCTAGCTCCTCTAGTGGAATGAAATGGAAGCACATTGACATTGTGTGTAATGTATACTTTCTTTCTCCGTTGTACTCAAAAATGTTAAGTTCAGTACGTGTTTGGTTTCGAAATTCACACAAAGTTTCCATTATTGGCATTGAATTGAATTTTCCAAAAAAAAATGCACTTTTTCATCGACGAATACGAAATAAAATAGGTAAATATTAGATGAAAAATGTTCAAAAGGTGTAAATCTGGGAAGTTCTAGAGTATCTACATAGAATAAAATTGTCGCCGACTCGCTTAAAAGACAAATTCAGTAGACCAATTCATTCAAGCGTCCATTTTGGTATAAAATGAAGACAACTTTTTTTTGTCTAACCAAACGAAATACTATGCTGTAATCGATGTATTCAAATGGGACATCGTTTTATACAGCTCTATGTTTATGCATTTCATATAATTTGACTTCGTTGTTTAAATGGTAGTCCTCGAATTGGGAAACCACAAATTTCTAGGAAATTATATTCTATATATTTCATGCAATCACCAAATTGCATCTCAATTCTTGTGATGAACAACGTAAACATCGTACATTAGAATTTTATTTCAAAGAAAACACCCATTGAAAATCACTCGGAGAGAATGTATATCGTCATAAGGAAGCATTCTCTCTTCTGTTTCACTTTTCCATTTCATTATTTTGCATTATCAAGTAAGCGCACATCTGTATTTGAAGAAAGAACAACGTGAAAATGGTAAAATGTGGAATTAAGAAAGCAAGTGAAAAGTGAAAGAAAAATGAGTGTGCCAAAATTGTTGAACTAAATAGGTACATTTTGGAAAATTTATTAAGCATTTTCACAAGCCCAAAATCGGTGGTTACTCAGGTAATTTTCTCTCGAAAAATCAGCAACTTTTGTACCCGCAGTAAGTGTGATGATGATGATAATGATGTCGACATAAAGGCAAAATAGAATGCGCTTCAAACTCTATGTTTGAATTTACAACCATTTTTATTTCATTTCCATCATGTAAAAAATTTGCTTGTTTCGTTTACTTCACAGGAACACGCCAGTTGCTTAAGCGATTGAAGCATATATTTTCTCTGTTGATAACACATTTTACAAACCCAGACAAACCTTTTTCGTTTGAAACGATCGCTGAGCAACGCGTATCATGGGCATGTGATTGATAAAACTTGGTGCTTAGTAATTTGCCAAGAACACTTACGATTGTGATAGTGAATAAGGAAAATGCAACCATTTGTGTAAAATCGTGGTGTAGCTTGTAAGCAAATCGAGTGAACAATTTTGAAATAACTATTCGTTTCGTGAGTGAAAATAAATAAATATAAAAAGAATTACATCGACTATGGCCACCTCTTCACTTTCCAAGGTAAATATTGCATATTATTGCTGCCGACACATACACACATATTTTGATTAATCGATCGAATGAAGAAGTTGCATCCAGCTAATTTGGCTTTGGATCAAAAACCAAGAATCCATCTTTTTTTTTTCTTTGGGCTTTTTGGTTTTTGTCCACACAAAAAAACAACAACCGTTCAGTTCATGCAACGCTTTATTTGTGCGAGTTTCAACCGGTTTTTACAAATGTATTTTTTGAGAGTGATCTCCGCTGAAATGAATGTATGTTATGGTTCGAAAGAATATTTCGGCGCTCAAGTGATTTTAATTTTACATACATACATGCATGTGTGCAGTGACTAATTGAGACATATGACTTCGGGAATTCCATCATATCCGGTGGCTGCCATTGTGATTTGCTGTTGATATCATGCGGCCCAAGAAGAAACTAATAACATTCGTTACTGAATTTACAGGTCGAACGCGAGGTCGAACAGAATGTACTCAACTTAAGGGTTGAACTAAGCGACGGTACAAAAGGATACATCTTTTCGCGTAATCCGCATCGCAATGAAGCGAAAATGTTCACATACAACTGTCATATTTGCAGCGTTCCAAATCTACCCGGTGAACGTTGCTTATATACGCATATCAGTGGACGCCGGCATCAAACCAAATTAACGTCGAAACAATTCGATGCTAATTTGTTCCGTGCAACATTGCAAAGATCCAATAAAAGTACGTCTCATGTCGTTTGCTATGACTGGATTCTGATATTCGGCATTTTCTTTCTTTGAATTCAACACACGTCCAATTTGAACAAATCTATACATCGTTTCTCACATTCTCTTCTCTTGTAAAACAGTTGTCATGAAAATTGCACCAGGCGAACCAGTTCCGCCTGGTTTTGAGAATGAGGTGAAAGCTGTTGCTGAAATTCAATCGAAAATTGACAAATGCCGAAATGTTCCATTCATCGGGCTCGAATATCTGGCGGAATTAGGTGTGCGCGACAAACAGGAACCGAGCTACTTGTGTGTACTATGTGAAAAGCGTGGTGACCCTCGTACAATTTTGGACCATCTCACCAGCTATAAACATCGCTTGAAATACTTGGTAACATTTCCAAATTCTCCATATGTAGGCATGCCAGAATAGAACATAGGGAGGTTTTTAAAACCGTCTATATCATGTATTTTCTTTGTTGAATAAATTGAACACTTTTTACATTTTTTTTTTTTGTCTCATCATCAATAATAATTATGCATACATTTTTCGACTTCGATAAAGGAAAAACATTTTCCGACGGTAACACGCGAAATCTCAGTGTATAGATATAGTCGCGAGGCACGTGACGTTTTTCCACACATTGTTCAGAAAATCTGTGAAGCCATTGAAGAGGCATATGGTCGATTAACACCGACCGTTTATGATAACGACGAGTATGAAAAGAATCGAATGGCTTGTCTTCAGGAAATTATCAACGATAAGCACTTCAGTGAAAAAAATGGCTCATCGTTTATCCATGTGATAAATCCGAAAGAAATCGAAGAATGGATTGCCAAAAGTTAGTTTTGAGTTCAATTTGTTGTTTTAATCAAAATATTGTATAATATTCTGTTTTCATTCCGTTAGGCAAAGCAAAAATCACGTCATCTAATAAGCGCAATGCATCTCCAATTGAGTTCGATGAAATGAAGCGTGGTCGGTCATCCAATGAACGCCGACGAAGCTTAGGCTCGATCTCCAGCATTTCTAGCTCGTCTCTGGATCGATCGCCCATTTCACATGGTTACGAACAAAGAAAACGTCTTTCAAACGATAAAGAAGACGATGTAATTTATGTCGGTTCAAAATCTCGTTCGCGTTCTCCGCGTGACCGAGCACATGTGTAAGTTATTTCTGCTAATGAAAGTGTAAGAATTTCTGCAAGAAATCGTTCACAATCACCTCATTCAGGGTTAATAGCACACAAAGCCTATTTTTATTACTTTCGTTTTTTTTTTTCACAGTTGAATTTGTTTTCAATAACAATTTTTATTTATGTACCTTTGAATATAAATAGAACAAAATCACCAGGACGGCAAACAATACCAACTCCGCGTGAACTATCCATGCAGGCAAATGCCATCAGTGCAGAAGGATACAAGTGGGAAAAGTACAGGTGGCATTTCTTTTATGAGTGTTATAGTAGAATAAATGTGTTTTCAAAGTTCAAAAATTAATTGAAATTAACGATGTCTGTAGATGTTTGGTTGAAAGTGCGATGAAAGATTTGGAAAAGCAACGCTTGGAGTATGAAAAGAGTCCTGAAAATCATCCGCTGTATCCAGATGAGTGGAAAGTGTTCTGGAATCGACGCTACAAAGAACTCCAAGCAGGTTTGACTTTTTTTTAATAATCACTTGCGGTAACAAGCAAATTCTTCTATAGAAAACTATCAGAGTTTTTTTTTTAAAAGGAGAATAATAACATTTTATGCACACAAAAAAATCATATGGCCAGTTGTTTGTTTGTTAGTGATCAATTTATTTCATATATTTCATATCGCTGGGATTTTAGAAAAGAAAGATCCAACAAAGTATGATTTTACACCGGAATGGAAAACATTTTGGACAAAGCGAATGTGCGAACTACACGATGAATCGGTTGAGAAAAAGAAAGATGAAATACGAAAAAGTTTGAATTTACCGAAAGATGGACGGGAACGAACGAGTGAGTTAAAGGAAAAATATAGCATTAAGCCCAATTCACGAAAGGAATCTCTAGATCCGGTGGATTCATCATCATCATCGTCAGCACGCAGGGAAAAGGTGGAGAAAACACGTCGATATGAAAGGTCTCGAAGCCGTGAAATGGTGTCAAAATCCAACGATAAGTATAAACGATCATCGTATGAACGTGAAAAAAGTTATGAACGCATCGAACGTGAAAGACATGAGATCGATCGAAGAGACAGAGACAGAGACAGAGAACGGCACCGTCAACCAAATTCACGAGGAAGCTATCACGATGAATCACCGCCGCGTTATATACGCGAAGAACGTGAACCTTCTGCCGTCTATTATTCCCATAATTCGTACAAGTGGCATCCAGGTCAACCAAAACCGTCCTACTATTCCAAGTCACACTACTACAGTCGCGAAATGCCAACATCTTCGCTGCCAAAATACGAAGAGCAAGTGGAGGATGAAACCGAATGTGACGATCCACTTACAGTTGTTACCGTATTGCGCCTCCTTTCAGCTTTAGAAGAATTACTAGGGCCAAGTCTTGGTCCGAAGATCGTTGAGTTGTTGGCTAAAGCGTTGGCATTGGAAAAAGTCAAAGCAAATTCAGCGGATGACATGCTTTTGAATGAAGAAAACTGTGTATTGTTGGAAACAATCAAAGAAAAGTTGAAAGGTCAATTGATGAACGACATGGTTGAAAAACATCGTATGAAAGGAGTGAAACGTGCCATTAAAAATATTGCCGGCGTCATTCATATGGCCTCCGAAAAAGAGAAAAACAAATCTCCCGAAGAGCGGCAGCAAGACGCATTGATGAGAGAGAGCTCGGCTGTCGATAAGCCACAGCCCGTTTTGACGGAATCAAAATCGGTTACTAAAACAGCGGAAGAGGAGAAACATGAGATGGCGAAAAAGATTACCGCTGCATTGATTGCTCAAGGTAAAGCCGACGTTTCGAAAGAGGAATTGGAAACATTAGTTAACTATTATTATGAGCAACGCAAAGCCAAAGAAAGTGCATCTCAAACCCAAAAAGACGCCCAGAATACGCCTAGTACAAGTCAGCCTACTGCATCGTCGAATAATAATGCTGCATCTAGTGCGCAAGCCATTGATTTGACCGATGATGGTTGTGAGATTAAGAAAGACCATGACGAAGAATTTGATTTGCCGCAAGACGCTTCGAATGCACTGGAAAGTTTGACTGATGCCGACTTGCAAACGTTGCTGCAGAATTTCGAAGATTTATCGACTGAAGAGCAACAGCACTTACAAACTTACATGAGAAAGTTAGAAGCGTCCGATCCAGCACGTGTGGAAAAACTCCGACAATATGTGAATGTAGCATTTGATTTACAAAAGTCTGAACTCAACGAAAGAAGCGATAAACGAAATTCATCCGAACGTTCGGCTCATATGGAACGAAACGCCGAATCGAGAACATGTCAAAATTCTGATCCATACAATGACATGTTCTATGATGATACTAATAAAAAGAATGATGCAAAGGTGACAAATATCGTTGACTCAGACGATGATGATTACTCGTACGATGATTTGTGCAAAGCAGCATCGAAAAATGTGAAAGAAAATCAAAGGGAGCTGGAAAACCGACTGCGATCTCCTGAAGTCATATCGGACAGTGATTCGGTAAATAAGCATGACCAATTCATTTTGGATGGTGAAAGGAGTATCCATTACGAGGACTCGAATCTGTCACGAGCAAGTGGAGAAAATTCAAGTTCGCGGACTGTAATTACCGATACTGAGAGTATTATTGCCAATTTGATGGGATCACTGCATCGAAACGCACAAAATCGTTCGTCAAACCATGAAAATCAACAGCAACGCCAGCAAATTCAAAGCAACGTACCATTTTATTTGCAACCACAATCACAAGCACCATACGCAATGTCCAATTCGAAATCATCAAATCAAGGCTATGCGAACGATTTTAATTTGGGTGGTCAAAACCAACAGTTTTCTTCATCGAACCAATTTAGGAACGCATATGGAAGCCAAAATCAAAATTATGGTAATACTCAACGGCTCAATATTCCATTAAATATACCTACATACCAACAGCAGCCACAGCAAGTACAATCACCGCAGTTGACAAACCAACAAGCCGCTCTATTGACACAATTGAGCCAACAGCAAAACCGTCGTCCAGCATGGTAGTTTTTTGTTTTCTTAATCAATCTTGTTGGCAGATACTGTTGACTCACAGCACATTTTTCCACATTTAAATTTTAAATGTTTAAATGTACTGAAATGAAACAAAACACAGAGCATGAAGCTCATTACAAATCATATATCGAATGAATTTTAAATATATCTGTAAACACTTTTTTACTCATTCATTATTATTATGTGAACATCATCCAAACAATAAATTGGAAGCCAGCCTGACAAATCATGCAAATTTTTTTTTTTTTTTTGCAAAACAAAAATTATGAGGTTAACAAAAAATTCAACAAATGAAAATTGATCAAGTGGAATATGAGAACTTCCATCGCTTGTTTATTCATACATATTAAAAATATGGAAAACATGATATAATATGAAAACTCTTAAATAAATATGTAGAAAAAAAATATGTGTTATTTTTCTTTCATTTTGTGCTCAAAGTGCACACAGTTCATTGAAAATTGAATTTTATACTGTGATTCATTTATTGTTATGTACTCTTTATACTCTGATTATTATTTTTTTTACATCTCAAGCCATAAATTTTATTAATCATTCTTATTATCAAAACCTTCATTTAAATCGAGTGTTAAAGATTTGCTACCATCACATACTCCCAAAAATGACTAAATACTAAATCTTTTTTTTTGAATTTAGAACGCAATTAGCAATGAGATATAAATTGTGCGATGATGTAAGTATATAAAAACTTGAAAAAAAATCGATAGTTTTTTTTTTTACCTGAAAAAGTCCTGTGAGTCTGTATTTCGACACATTGTGCGTATGCAAACTAATTCGAAGCATTTAATTTCAAAGTGGAACTGAACACTACATTACAATGTATGTATTGAAAACATATATGCATATATTTCCGCTATGAAATGGGTCGCCCTCGTAGCCACTGGCCAGTGGACGCAATTTCATACAAATTGAATTTTACATCATTTGAATGGTTATAGAATGCGACCGTGCATATTTCATATAACATGTTGAGATTTACATTTGCATTTTGGTGTCTAGGGGACATAACGCCACGAGCAATACCACGATGCATGCAGCACTATGCGTGTACAAAGTTAATGAAATCATTTATTTGGATTTTCGTTTCATATTCATGCAATTCATGTAGACCATAGCATCGGTGTGAATTCAAGCAACTATTAATTGTTTAAGCAATTCGAGTGGAATAGATCAACATCACATATAATCAAATACGATTTATTCAAATCCTATGGCGTTTCACTTCTTTTGGAATAAATTTAAAATTCTAACTTCAAATTATAATTCAATTCAATGAACTGTATTGTAAAGAACAAAAAATTCGTATATATTGCGGCTGTTAAAATCAAATTGTGATGGCAAATGTGAAATAGCGGTCCATTGCCTGCTTCGCTTTGTTTATTGAAATCAATTTCTTCGTATATTTTAAATGTTGCGTTATTGATGGATAGGACAAACAAACAGGGCAATGTATGCGTATCACGTTTAGGTGTGAAATTGAATCATTTACACACTTGTTCCATATAACTATATTAGGTTCGTTCAATATCCAGTTAGCGAAAACGTGTCTAGACTGCCACAATAAATGTCCGCTGTCACACATACACACGCTCCAATCATTAATACTATGTATGTGGCACATCTACAGCATCCATCGTCCTGAACACTCCATTTATACAGGACTCTTAATCCCATTGACATTTAAGATGTTGCATAAGACAGTTGGATGGCATGTGGGAAATGTGGCAAATAATTTTTCGCTAGATTTGCTTTTATCACAATCGAGCTTATTGCTTAACTTTTATTGTTTGTTGTGCTGCCGCTGCTTGTTTTATTGAGGCTCTCTCGTCAACATTGCTCCAAAGTTTTTGTTTATTTATTGGATTAAATCTAATTATTTAATTATACCAATATTTTATGATTCGATTTGTCAACTAATAAAATCCGATTAAAAGATAAAATCGATTTATTGGTCATTTCATCGGCAAATAGCAAGAAAATCTGAAAATTATTCAAGGAAAGTCATTTCAGCTCTGTTCTTCTTATATTGCTTTACCTAATTTCTTATATTGCTTTAGCATTTTCATGTTAAGAAACTGTAAATGAGTTTATGTAAAAACAAGAAAGTTCAACAGAAACATTTCCTCCCGCTGCGCTTGGAATTTGTTGAATTTGCCTGAAATCATTCGGGTCTACTTTGTTGATAAATAACAATTCCAATTGAAGAATGGCTGCTTACAAAAACGTCTAAAAATAAAATAAAATCGTCTAAAGAAATGACAATTTCGTCTAAAGGAAATCGTCCCTTTTTTTGACAAATTCGTCTAAAATAATTTTTTTTAAATGAAAAAATCATCCAAAAATGTGACAATTTTTTCTTAACAAAACCGGGTTTTAAAATAACAAAATCGTCTAAATACGAGTTTTCTGTGAAAAATGACCAAATCGTCTAAAAGACTCCAAAAACAACTATGTACAAAATGTTCATTCAAAGTGATAATATCATCTAAAACACTCTCAAAAATCACAAATTCATATGATACTATTTTCATCCTGAAAAAATCGCCTGAAATATGCCTAAAATGACTATGAACAATAGTTCATTTAAAATATCTTCTTTATGAACAGAGTTGTAAAAGTGCAATTACAAAATTTGTAAGGTTTCGTGGAAGCCGTTGATAAAACGACTAAAAAAAAAAACAAAAAATATACGGATTTTGATGAAAATTGACACAGACATATTTTAGGAGATAAATTTTAATATCCACCAAGTTTCAAGTCGATGCGACCTT